GGGCCCTTTTGCAACAGTGGGCCTCTAACAGTTAAAGGGGATTTTTGTCAATATTCTGTGAAGCTTTTCCAACCTAGCTGCTATGAAACACATCAACAGGCCAACTGCACATTTAACCTGAAAATATCTGAATAAATATCAAGCTGTTATTTCAACAAACTTCGAAAACTGGCTTCTTTATAGAAATAGCCCACTCTTCACTTTGTAAAGAAGAATTTTACCATGTGACCCCTGTGTTGGTCATTGATTGCTGTGATATGACTGCTGTGGCCTCTACGCTGAAGCCTCCAACATAAACACATAGATGACCCGTTCTGGTCTTGTCACTCTGACCTGTACTCGAAAATAGGTCAGTCATCCTTGTCTATGAAAAAAGCCAGCATATTTTGCTGTTCATTTACAAAGCTGTTTCACAGATACACATTTGCATTACTCTTGACCACTTCACACACAGATTATTCCACTTGTGCACATAATTCATATATTTTTTATCTTCCACAGAATTTGCATTCTTTAAAATGTGTACAGTTTCAATCATAATTCAATTCTGATTTCTTCTCGGTCTCCACCTCACTGTTGTAAAGGTATCATTTGATTGTATGGTGCTGCTTTATGTTACATATACAAACCTTGATTTCAAAAAAATTGGCACATTATGTGAAATGCAAATAAAAATAGAAACCCTATTCTAAAATTGATGCCTACACACAGGGCAGTTTAAGAGAAGGAACACTGTGTGACATTTGCACAACAATTGATGCAATCATATAAAAGGAACATGCAGGAAAGGTCTACACTTTTATGAGGAATGATGGGTCAGAGCTCACCACTTGGGTCAGTTAATAATCCAACAGTTTAAGATCAACAAGTGATTTTTTTGCATTCCACAGTGCACAATCTCATCAAAACCTTCATTTTTTGTGTGGAAAGGGCAAGAACGAAAACCTTAACTGAATGGCTGTGACCTTCAATCCTTGAGGCGGCATGCATTTGAAACAAGAATGCTTCTGTGATGGATATCACCGCATGGACTTGGTAATACTTTGACCAACTGTTGTCAGTGAACACTGTTTTTTGTTGCATCCACAAATGCAAGTTAAGACTGTACCATGCACAGTGTAATCAATATGTCAATATAGTCCAGAAACACTGCCAACTTCTCTGGGCTCAGCTCATCTAAAATGGACTGATATGCAGTGGAAATATCTGCTGTGGTCTGACGAGTCGACGATTTATTAATGGAAGTAATGGATGTTGTGTTTCCTGGCCAAAGCAGAAAACAACCATCCAGATTGTTACTATTGTAAAGTTTACAAGCCAGGGTTTGTCAAGGTAAGGGATTGTGTTACTGGGTAACCTGCACATCTCTGAAGGCACCATTAACACTGCATGTTATATGCATAATTTTGAGCAACATATGCTGCTTTTTAGATGATGGCTTTTTCAGAGATGTTCATGTTTTTTTCAGCATCACAGCACCAAGCTACATTCAGCATTTATTACAACAGCATGGATACATAAGGGCTAGACTGGTCCAAAACTGTCTCCCATTGAAAACATGTGGCCATTATAAAGCCAGAAAAACAGATGGACTACAGTCTGTAATTGTAGAACTACAAAGTGAACCTATATGATAAGTGGAGCTGTTAAAATGGACAGTGAATGTAGATATATGGAGGTGGTTTTAGCCCTTGTGTGGTGTTGATGTGTTTGTTACTCAGTGGTCTGGTGACCCACCACATTATTGTTTTTTAAATCAATACAGCCATAACAATTTATGTAAAAATACCAGATGTTTAAAATATCACGTCCCCAGCGTTGGGTTCTCCTTTAGCAGCTGTAGCCAGTCAGCAGCCTGTCCATGTTGTCCACCCTCACACTCACACACACACACACACACACACACACACACACACACACATATATAAACACATACACACACAGACACACACACTAACAGCAGGCCATGTAGGAGGAGAACAGAGTGAAGGACACAGGACCTCCACACTTTTACTCCCCGCAGGTTCACCCAACACCACATGTGTAATATAAATGTGTAGGAGGTGAACAGAGTGAAGACACTGAAAATGTGTTATTTTATATGTTCTTCACAGAAAATGAGCAAAGGGTTAATGATATGGCCAGTCAATGTATATTTAGACACATATCATGCTATAGCCAGACCCCTCTGTCGATGCCACTTTTGATCTCATTTGGGTTTCCTTGCCTAAATAAAGATCTGAACTGAGTTCAATGTGATAACATTGAGCTGAAACAGATGCTCCAATAGGTTATAGGCTATTCCAGAAAGTTTCCAAAAAACCCCAAAATATTCCTTCTATTTAAAATTTCGTAATACTTTACTAAGCCAAAGTGAAACTTTCCATGTAAACAGTTCATTTCTATTATTACTATAAATCATGACTAATGTATTTCATCAGTTGAGTCACCAACTCTCCTCCCTTTTGCTGCACAGTGAAACAGCACCATCTATTGGTGATGGCTGTAACTGCAAGAAGTGATATGACCACTGATCCTTGAAGAGATCTTCATAAAAACCTATTTATTAAAATATTTTAAGAACTTACATTCGGTCCACTGCATTAAGCATAATAATAATCTGTTTGTCGTAGTTGTAATGGCTTGTGAAGTTAAGTGACAAATCCATCACCAAAAGGCTAATATTTATGCTGTACAGGTGAATTTACACTCATTGTCTACTATTTCAGAAACTCCTAACTTTTACTTGCAAAAACTGCAAATCAAGCAAAGAAGTTGCTGGTGTTCCTAGAACAATGGACTGACCACCCCAGAGTCCAGACCTCAACATCACTGTATTTGGGATTACTTGGATAGTGAGAAGCAGAAATGCTAAACCTACTTCTAAGGCTGAACTTCGGAGGTGTGGAAAAAAAGAGTTTGTATATATACAGGGTTGGGAAACAAGTATTTGATATATGTGAAAAAACAAGCATTTCATATATGTATTTAGACATCAATTTGTATCAATTTTTATACAAAAAATACATATCTGTATTCAGTCCTACTTACAGTTAACTTTTAAATTATTGGGAAAATACTTCTAGAGTACTTACTCGCTAAATTTTAAAAATATATTCCATCTTTAAAATAAGCACCATAAATAGCTATTGTTATTATAAATAACTAGTTATTAATCTCAGTGTTACTGAGCTCTGCTAAAGCCTGAGTAGACTGATAAATCAATGTGATGATCAATTATTTATCTCAGTATTACTGAGTTCTGCTAAAGCCTGAGTAGACTGATAAATCAATGTGATCAGTTATTAATCTTAGTGTTACTGCGCTCTGCTAAAGGCTGAGTAGATTGATAAATCAGTGAGATGAGCCAGTCATTATGTAAGTAATACTGAGCTCTGCGAAAGGCTGAGTAGATTGATAAATCAATGAGATGAGCCAGTCATTATGTAAGTAATACTGCACTCTGCTAAAGGCTGAGTACATTGATAAATCAATGAGATGAGCCAGTCATTATGTAAGTAATACTGCGCTCTGCTAAAGGCTGAGTACATTGATAAATCAATGAGATGAGCCAGTCATTATGTAAGTAATACTGAGCTCTGCTAAAGGCTGAGTAGACTGATAAATCAATGAGATGAGCCAGTCATTATCTAAGTAATACTGCGCTCTGCTAAAGGCTGAGTAGACTGATAAATCAATGTGATCAGATATTAATCTCAGTGTTACTGAGCTCTGCTAATGGATGAGTAGAATGATAAATAAAAGTGATCAGTTATTATTCTCAGTGTTACTGAGCTCTGCTAAAGCCTGAGTAGACTGATAAATCAATGTGATCAGTTATTAATCTCAGTGTTACTGAGCTCTGCTAAAGCCTGAGTAGACTGATAAATCAATGTGATCAGTTATTAATCTGTGTTACTGAGCTCTGCTAAAGCCTGAGTAGACTGATAAATCAATGTGATCAGTTATTAATCTCAGTGTTACTGAGCTCTGCTAAAGCCTGAGTAGACTGATAAATCAATGTGATCAGTTATTAATCTCAGTGTTACTGAGCTCTGTTAAAGCCTGAGTAGACTGATAAATCAATGTGACGATCAGTTATTAATCTCAGGGTTACTTAGTTCTGCTAAAGCCTGAGTGGACTGATAAATCAATTTGATCAGTTATTAATCTCAGTGTTACTGAGCTCTGCTAAAGCCTGAGTGGACTGATAAATCAATTTGATCAGTTATTAATCTCAGTGTTACTGAGTTTTGCTAAAGCCAGTGTGATGATCAGTTATTAATAAGTTTGATAAGCCCCGAGCCAAAATAATGTTAAGAATTTTGTAACTTTTTTGCATGAAACATATTAATTCCCTGCCGGAAAAAAACAGCACAGGCCAGCATGCATTCCATGCTGGTCTAAGTTGGTTTATGCTGGTTTGTGCTAGCCTAGTGCTGGTTTAGCTTGACCAGCATACCAGCATCAAACACAACATTTTGCTGGTGACCAGCCTAATAACCTCCATTGCTGCTGACCAGCACACCAGCTTCCCAAACACAACATGCTGGTTTTGCTAATGTTGATTGAATAAAAATTACAACTGTAGTTTTTCCCCATGAGATCTGTCAGTATGCATTCTAAATGTATTCTGAATACGTTACTGTTTTATGCATTGCAATGGAATACACTACTGAATATATATAGGACAGTCTATTCTGTATTCAGCCATCTCTGCATTGTGTATGCTGCATGCTCAACTCTCTCTATATTTATATCCACCACCTGACGATCTTTAAATATTATTTAATCGGGAAATATGTCATTTGCATAACTAATTCACTCCAATGGTTAAAGCTGTGTGTTATTTATGAATTGACAGACTGAGAGTGAAAGCGGCCTCGTGGACAGTCGCCGGCGCGCATGCGCAGGACCCACAGATCGTTGCTGCTGCCGCTGGTGCTGCTGCTGCTGGCCGAGGTGCTGCTGCCCGGCTGACCGTAAAAGGCGGACGAAATGTGGGGACAGAGCGGCGCAGCACACGATCCGTCCAAGGAATGTGGTTAACCAGAGAGCCTCGGACACACCAAATCCTTTTCTCCTGGGTCGCCCCGTTCTGGTCCGATATGCTGTTTACTGAGGCTGTCTGACGGAGCGAGAAAAACAAGGCGCCCTTGATTTGAAGAAGAGCGACCGTTAGAAAACGACCGTTAGAATCCACAAACATGAACGTGTCGCTTCTTCCGAAGGGACCGAGGCTGGAGGTCGCTCTCACGGCGCTGGTGTGGCTGTGTGTGTCGATGTGTGTCGTGTGTTCAGCGGTGGGAGAAGATGAATTTAGCGTGGAGGTAAGACTGGCTGGCCCACAGGTTCCACCATTCATTCGCCTTCTCCTCTGTGTTTGTCAGTAACGTTACAGCGCTGAGGCGCAGTTGTATTCGCCAGCGTCTTATTCGAATTTTCCATTCCACCTTAAATGGGGCGGCCGTTACATTCTGGCGCCTCGGGTAACTAGTGGAACTGCTGCACCATTTAAGGTGGACTGGAAGATTCGGATAAGAAGCTCGCCTCAGCCTGGTGGAAAACGGCGTAGTGAGGATGGCTGTCGTTCGACTGAGACAAATTCAGTGATTTTACTGACTGTAAATGATTATAAGTGATACTCTGCTATCGGTTGAACCTTGTCTGTGATTTGTTTTTCGAAGCTACTATGAATAAATCCCCAGTGTTGAGTTTCAGTGTCAAATTCATACCGTGCTAATATTACAGCGATGATTTGACACCTATTACAATGTCCAGTAAGCACCACGATGCTGTAGAAGAACCACATTTCGTTCCCTAAAGAGCATTTCAGTGGATGATTCCTTAAAGTAAGATGTGTGAGTATGAAGAACCTTTTTAAAGTTTGAAGAACCTTATGAGGATCTGTACCAATTGAAGGTTTTCCCAAGAGCCAACTGTCCATTTGGATCCTTTATTTTCAAGACTGTAGCTAGCTAACCTAGCTAACTTAGCTCATATGACAGTGTTGAGGTAGGCTAACTATGGTGCTGAATTAATTACATATTACAAAATTATATTTAATACAGTCAACATTTTTCTTCTATAGTGTTTCTTTGACATCTATGGTCTTGAGTTAAAAGGCCTACATTCTGTATTTTTCTTTTCTTTTTTCCTCTAGATACACTGATGATGTTTGTAGTGTTGTATGTATCGAAATAAATTTTTACATGACCATTTTTAAACGTTTAACAAAATCTAACAGGCTGTTTTCGTTACTTTGCCTTTGAGAGCAATATATGTAAATGAGCTTTGTTCTAATTGGCTGCTCTGTATTGCACTCCCTATAACTTCAATGTGGATGGGCGGAGCTAAACCGCTGTGGGCTGAATAGGTGGATAAATGACATCACAAAAACATTCAAAACAGGCTTTTTTTTAAAGCTTAGTTTTCATGTATAGACTGTATGAAACTTTAATTTTCAGCTGGACACAAAATGATCAGCTGGACACTAAGTTAATTCAAAACTGGGGATTGTGCTGTGGAAGAAGGTGATGTGGGCTGAATTTATTCTATTCTATTCTATTCTGTTGGTGAATTGTCACCTAACATCATCATCATCATCATCGTCGTTAACCGCTTAGTCCAGCTAGGGTCGCGGGAGTCACCTAACATAACCCTGTTTAAATAAAACCTAACTAATCTTACAGTTCTGAATTAACATCTGCAGTTTTGAATTAGCACCTATTGAATTGTAGTGTTTTATGTACAGTGTGGAGCCTGTAGCATTAGACTACAGTGTTTATTGACGTCTAGCTGGACACAAATTAACATTATCTAAGGGAATTCAACACTGTAAGTGTTAATTCAACACTGGCGGCACTCTATTTTATTCTGTTGTACTGTATTCTTTTCTGTAACGTTCAGTCCTCCCACAGTCAGCCGCAGGCTCCTGTGCACAGCACTGCCATATCAAGTAGGTTATAGTAACGCTGTCTATGCTACTGTACAGACTTGACTGCAGTTTCTTCAGATTAAAGCCAGGCCTATACATATCCCCTCATCGTGTATGCCTTTAGATCCCGAGCTCCAGCGGGTGGGTGGACGAGGTGCAGGCGCTGCAGTGTGTGATTGCTCTGCTTCTGACCCAGACCCCTGTTCTCTCTTTTATACTGGAACGTAGGCTCTTGTACAGTCAGTCTTTTTGAATTGTGCAGATCAATAGCCAGATTTTAAATGAAAACAAGGCTGTGAACAGCTACCTGGCCTCGGTGCTGCAATGACAAAAGTGTACCACATGAAGAATTAAGGAGCTCCCTCACGTTATGTAATCCGCCTGGTTTCTTTGCCCCATATTCCTCAGGGCCAGAGCGGGCCTAAACATGACACTAAGCGCTGTTGGGTTTGCTCGGAGAGAATTTGTCATCTTCTGTTGCTGTTTGACTGGAGGATTATTGTAGTGTATTATAGCTATGCACGGGGAATACGTTACCCATTGTCGTGCTTGCACTGGGGGTTGTAGTGGGTAAGTTCCGGCACAAAAAGCCTTTTCATGGATTTGAGAGAAAAGACAGCCGTCTGAATGGACAGTTTGGTAAAAAAAGGAAGCAGTGTTTTCAGTGTGAAGTTGATTTGTCAGGTCATGCTTTGAGCTTAACATTGCAGTTGACATAATTCATTCTTACCACTGCCCCATTTGTCCTTTAAACCACACAGCAGGGGTCACCAATGACACCATAAGCATTGTGCAGTCATACACACACACAAAAATATAGTTTCAGGACGTGGGGCATACAGTATATCCCATATGTATTATATACATGCAAGTAGCTTTATGTGAAAATATCAGTTCTACATGTATTTTTTAACATATATAAGCATCTATATGCCATTATATGTCCCATATGTATAATACATAAAAATATGAATACCCCTGGACAAATTACATGTTTTGTTGATTTTCTGAACACATCCTATACAGGGAACAAACGGAAATATAGCATTTTTTCTTGTGCTGAGTTTAATGTATTGGAAAAGAATAAAACACAAAAATAAAATATAAAATATGCCATAACCCTGCTGTGTAGCACATTTTATGTTTTGTTTTTTTCCCAATATGTTAAATTCAGCAAATAAACAGTAACTGTGTATTAAAATGTGCAGAAGTGTGTCCTGTGTAGAGGAGGTGTTTATTTATTTTTATTTTCATGTAGAAAATCAACAGAGCATATAATAATATTGTGTCTCATATATGCAATATATGTAAGTATCTATATATCTTTGTATGTAATTTTATATTGTCACTGTCCAAAAAAAAACAAGTACCTCTAAAATGGAAACCTTACAGGAGATGGCAAAAACATTCTTTTCTTTCAAAGTACATTAATGTAAAGAGTTTTATTGGAGCATTTCTATTGGTCCATTCATCATGAAATTTACATGCATAGAAAAGGTAGTAAAGGACAGCTGCTGAGGTCAAATTATGCAGAAAACAAAAAATTTGCAAAAAATGAAGATATTGGTTTTTACCTATATGTTGTGAGTACCTAGTATTTATGTATAATAATATGCCTCATATATACCTATATATAAACACCTATGTGCAGAGGTGCCGCTAGGAATTTTGGGTCCTCTGAAAACTTTGTGAATGGGCGTATTGCGTCACCTTACCTTTCCCTTTGCAGAAACTGTAATAATATTGAAATGTGCCATATTTTTCATAACCCTGCTGTTTATTTTGTTATACGGTCATAATACCATTTCTCACTGAGCATCCCAACAGAAAAACAAAGGATATGTTGCACTATTGATTTATTAATTACTATACTTTGGGTTTTATTTAGACAGCTTCATCATCTCATTCCAGTCTGGTACCTGCACTCTTTAAATATGTAGCCATGCTGTTGTAACGTACAGAATGTTTCTTGGTGTTATCATGATGACATACGCATTGACATTTCATGATAAAGGTAAAAAGAAAAAGAAACATCCATTATTTCCAGTTGACTCATCAGACCGCAATACACGTTTCTACCGCGTATGAGCCCATTTCAGATGAGCTTGAGTCCAGAGAAGTCAGCAGCATTTATGGATTCTGTTGAGATGGGACTTCCAATGTGTACAGTACAGTCTTAACTACAGGTAGGATTGTTTGGATGTCCTTATCAGAAAATGTTTCCAGTATTAAAAGAAAAAAATGGGATATTTTGACAGCCTAAATCAGATCAAGTATTAATATTAAGTTGAGTCTTTACTAAAATTAAAATTCAGTAGGTAGCATTGCATAAATTGCTACCTGCTAGGTAGCCTAAGTTTGAACTTCGTGGGAGTTATCCTGACAGCCAGAGTAACTAATATTTGTAGTTTTTAAGGTTGTTAATATTTTCAACTGTAAGGAGATGACCACAGCCTTTTTACATCTTTTCATTCTGAATCTTTTCACATCTTTTCATGTCATGTCTTTGTTTTTTGCATCAAATTATGGAAAGTAGTATCAATTAGAGTATCGATAAACAGTATTGGTATCGATATCAGTATCAACGATGCCCATCCCTATTACTGACAGTGGTTTGTCGAAGCATTCCCGAGCCCGTGTGGTGATATCCATCACAGAAACATGTTGGTTTTTAAAGCAGGACCATCTGAGGGGCCGAAGGTCGCAGGCATTCAGTTGTGGGTTTTCGGCCTTGTTCTTTCTCTGGATTCTCTAAATCTTTTGATAATAATTTGCACTGGAGAGAGTGAAATATCTACAACTTTGCAATCGCTCGTTGAGGAACGTTTTCTTTTATACTGTTGGATTTTTTGCTGGTGCATGTTGCAGGCATTCATTTCAGAATGAGCGTACATTTAGAAAAATCAAGCTGATACAATAAACATGAAACTTTGGACTGTTTTTGTTTACAAACAGGTCAAAGTAGATTAATAAATTACTAATTTCTGTTTTTATTTCCATTTTACTTACTGCCCCAGCATTTTTGGAATTGGGTTTGTAAAAAAGTCAGGACATTTTTGACCTAAAAATGTCCAAAAACAAATACACACTCACACACACACACACACAGTCTTCCTTTCATCCCCCTCTTTTCTCTGTCATCCGTGTAGCTCTGTTGTCCTGTCATGTTGTCCGCTGGCAGGGTTACAGTGGTTGGCAGCAGCTGAGTTGGGAATGCACGTCAGTGGACAGTGGACAGTGTGCGTGCACGTGTGTATGTGATGAGTAAGGTGGTGGTGCATGGCTGCTCAGCAGGTGGAACTTTACTTCAGCCAGAAATAGCTCAGAGAGCGCTGGGCTCATAGAGCCAGTAGTTTATCCAGGATGCCCTCAGAGGATGGCCTTTACCCAAGG